CTTGCCCTGGAGGAAGTGGAGAAGAAACCATCATGAAACCATCCACACACTCCAACCTCAGTATTTTTAGAGGGCAGAGAAGTTCTCTGGAGCAACAGGAGAAGGTCATGCAGGTTGATGTAGGAGGTAGGAGGAGGAGAAGATAAACATGGAGACCATTTCCCCTGCCCTCTTCCTCTAGAAGTGAGCTCCTGCTTGATCCTGGTGTTTTCCATGAACAGACAAAGAGTTACCATTCTGAAACAGGAAATCTGGATCTGACTAGGTTGACCTTCTGTCTGCCTCTTGAGACTTCCCAGAGCATGAAAAATTATTTCTTTCATTTTAATTTCAGACTATGACTTCTCAAGTCTCTCAGCCAGTGGATTCTGGGAGCAGCAGGAGAAAAATGACTACAAATGTATTCCTCGTGTGGGGGGGGGAGGGGAGCAAGGCTTTTGGAGCCTAGGCAATCATCCCGTTTTCTTCCTCCTGATCATTTCAATATTATCTGTCAGGAAAAGGCTTTGACCTCAGAGAGTTCAAATATACACATCTCCAACTATGGAGCTAGCATGTGATGCAATGGATACACTCCATGGTGATGCAGGCAGGAAACTTTTCAGCCTCTGCCCCACTGCCTGTTTTCCTTATTATCCTGAGTGTTGCCTCTTCTTGAATCTCTGAAGTAGTAGAAAACAAGATTCTTGGATTGTTTCATTTTAATAGTGATAAAAAGATTCCTAACTTTCTGCTCAAATACCATAAAATGTACTCACTAATAAAAAGTCTTTGTATTTTTAATAAAGTGAGACTGAGTGCTTTTACTGCTGTTACATAAAGAGAAGCCAATGTGGTAGTTCACAAAACTAGCATAGCACAGTGGTCAGACCAGCGATATGGTAGCACTTTTCAAATATCTGAAAGGCTGTCATACAGAGGAGGGGCAAGATCTGTTCTCAATCATCCCAGAGTGCAGGACATGCAACAATGGGCTCAAGTTAAAGGAAGCCAGATTTCGGATGAATATCTTCCTAACTGTTAGAGCAGTACGACAATGGAACCCAGTTCCCTCGGAAGTTGGTGAGTGCTCCAACACTGGAGGCAAAACATATCACCTAGCAGATATGTTTTGATTATATTCCTGCATTGAGCAGGAGGTTGGACTTGATGGCCTTGTAGGCCCCTTCCAATTTCATTTTTCTATGATTCTATGATATACAGCCTGTGACTCCTGGGCTACGTGGGCCCCTTTGAAACACTTCACATTGCATCTGGCAAGCTCTGAGCAAGTCTATATTGCTCAGGTTCCTTCTCCGCTTGGACAGGGAAAAGCAAAGGCAGCAAATCTATCTCTCTACTGCCTCCTCATAACTGTCAAGATATTTGTAATGGAGCAGGTCACTATATTGTAAATTAAAGTCTTGAATTGTACTCATGGAAGTAAAATATGTAAGAAAGACTGTATGTAAAGCACAAGCATACACCTGTTGCTGGTTAACAGGCAGAGTTTGAGGCTTGAGTTGCTGATTACAGAGGCTTTTCCTCTGTATAAAGGTAGCTCTGTGAGAGCATTCCTTTACTGCTCTAGTATAGGAGCAGTCAGGCTGTTGTGTTATCATGGGTTGTAAGTAAGCAGTTACTGTATATGGATATGCTGTTATGTTATCATATTATGCTGTTATGTTAAGCTGTTATGCTGAAGCTAAGCTGTTCAAGTTACATGTGTAAATATGAAGTATTTTTCTAAACTAAGTTTTGTCTGTCATAAGTTTTGCATCCAGAGTTAAGGAAACAGCACTGAGTTCTGTTATGTTTCTGTCAGTTCTCTCTAGAGAGCAACATTCTCTCCTGAGATGACTTAAAATGTTTCTGCTAGTACTTGTTTATGTACACATGTTCAAAATCTAGCAATTTGCTCATGACAATAACAACTTAACAAGTTAAAGATGGACTGAGGGTGGCCATGGAACGGAGACAGTTGCAGTATAACCATGAGTTTCCCAAGTTACACACTGAACTCCTTAGAATTGTGTGTGGAATAAAGCCAGAAAAAATAAGTAAATAAAAATTCAACTTCACTTAGATATACCTTGAAAATTAGCTCAGTACACCAGCCCCTGTACTTCTTTCCATTATGTGAAGCTCAGAAATATTGAGCTTTCTAAAGCATCACTAGATTTTATTGATCTAGAACCAGATTAGGGATATAAATCATTGCTTATTTAATTCCTGCAGCTAAGAATGGAAAATTTAAAGTGTTTTCTTGCTGCTGGATGAGATTTCCAGAATGTTGGTGTAATTTGTTTACATTTCAGAACTTTGCAAAAATGATGGAATGTTGGAATAAAAGGGTTTTAAAAACTCAAAGTGCATGGATTTTGCACAAAACAAGGCAAAAACTATAATTTTCAGTGCAAAAACTACAAATTTCCCTAATGCTGCTGCTGAATCACCTCTGCTGCTCTTATGCAGGCATGAAAAGTCTTGCAGTGTTTGACAGTTTTTTTTTGCTTTGGAGAGAGTCTCTGTGAAGTAGACAAAATCTTTATTTGTTATATCCTTCAGCCAGTTTTTCCAAAATGCCTCAGAGTAATCTGTGCTTCTTTATCACATTTCAAAGTTGTAAACTGGTAGCTCTGAGAAGCTCACTGTTGAGAACACAAGCAATAAGGGCTCTATATCAGTGATCTGGTGCAGCTTTAGGACCACCCCCATCTGGGGCCAAGATGTGAAATATTTCCCATTTAGAATGGCAACATTAGAACAAGGAAACTTAGAGAGCATGGGACGTCTCAAACATCAGTCAAATTAAGCTGCCACACAACAAACCAAAACAGTAATAGACAGAATGAAAAAAATAGGTAGTCTTCTCAACCCTATCCCTGATTCTCCAATTACTGATGACTCAATGGTACTGGCTAGGCCTCAATCTTCACCTCAGTCTACTTCCATAAAGACAGATCCTTATGTTTTTTACACAGCAGTCAATGACAGTATTTGCATGTCACTGTAAGCCAGGAATCCTTAGTTACAAAAGTATGACATGACCAAGCAGCACATCTGTGCACACATCACATTCACAAGATGGAGGCCACCAAGAGAAAGACTACAGCTTGGAAATAACCATTTGCAAGTAATGTACTGGTCTGTATTTGGCTACTTCAGGGCAACAGGTAATGTAATTAGCACTTTTGGTTGTTCTGGTTTTTTCCGGCTCTTTGGCTATGTTCTGAAGGTTGTTCTTCCTAATTAGCACTTTATTTTTAGATTAAATAGAAGTGATGGGAATGCAATAACAGTTACTTTTAAAGTTATTTTAAGGGGTATGCCAAAGCATTTTCAGAGGCACTTTGACAGGAATTTTTCAGATTTTATGCTGTTCTCTTATTAATCCCAGTTGACAAGAGAAGGATTATTCAGGTTTATCTTTGGTATTTTTGTAACTATTTCCAATGTATTGCAATTAGCCAGTAAAGGGAGGCAGAGAACATTTCTTTGTATTTTTCTGGCCTGTGGGATAGAGACCATTCAACACAGTAATAATGTGCAATGCAACGAATGACTTGGGCAATTCTGGCAATGATAATGATAACTCCAAACTGGCTGCCAAGAAGTGATGAATAAAGCAATGAGTTCCTTTTAAGATGCAATATTCCAGGCTCTGAAGGAGATTCTGGTTCCTTCTGTTGCCTGAAAGCTGAGGAATCAGGAGCATGGTTTCAGATAAGGAGAGGAGAATGTAGGAAGCAACATCCAAAAGATAGAGGTTCTGAAGGCACTCATTTTTAAGCGACTTGGGCCTTTAAAGTTTAAGATCAACAAATCAAATTAAAACCAGAAACAGACTGGTAAACACTGTAGATAAAACAAAATAATTTGATATGGCCTAAATGCCCTTTCCCAGTCAGAATCCTGGCAGCAGCAGCATTTTTTACTGCTTCCAAAGGCTTTTCAACACATAGAAATAAGAACGTAATCTGAGGAAAGGAGGGCGTGAATAATTTTGGCATGCTCCAGTTTCATCAAGTAAGGTTATATCTAGAGTGGTCTTAATTGACTAGATAGGCTGGATATTAAATAAATAAATAAATAAATAAATAAATAAATAAATAAATAAATAAATAAATATCTGATATATGAACCAAATCTGTATAAAGGTATTTTTTGTCACCAATGCATACTTATCATCCTGCAGGAATTCTGGTTCAGGACTTGTCCAGACGGGGCATCTGATCTCCAAAATTACTGGGGATTCTGCACTGATGGTTTTCCATATTGTCCCACCACCTGGATGACACAAGGCGCGTGCTGATATCTGCAGTGTGTTTTTTCCTCCACTATTTAGTGCTTTGAGTTTCCCCATGCAAGAACAGCAGCAGTGGAAGTAAATAAATTCAATTTCAGGATGACCCAGGTGTCAATTTAAAACCCATCACTACTCTTGTCCTAAAAGTTCAAATGTTGATGGCCAAGGGAAAATTGGGATGAGGGCTTGAGATGGGAGAGTAGGGAGACAAGAGTAGGACTACGATCTTCCCTTTTTCTTTTTATTGTTAGTTTTCAAAAAAGCATTACTTGTAGAAAAGGCAGCAAAATCCAGATTGTTTTATTCTAATTTGCCAATCTGGAGGTTACACCTTCACATAGCAAAAACCCAAAAATGAACATGGCATGGAATGGGGTAGAATGGCCCCTTAAAAACATCATGCACAGTTTGAGATTTTGGGGGAGTAGCAGGCAACTGGTGCCTGAAAGTGGTGTGTGAAAAACAGTAGCTCTTTACATGGCAATTTGGACAGGAATCCCAGTAAACACCTCTCTTCTTCAGGTCTAGTTACAACAAATCATGACCAATTAGAGCAGAACATTTTGCCCCATCTGGAAAAGCCTTCAGTCCAAAAGTACCTGCAAGCTACAGAAATGACATTTCAAAGGCTGCATTCTTAAACCCAAATCAGATCATCTGCCCATCTATTCTTGTCTAGATTAAGCCTCAGCTTGTTAGGCAGTCTACTTACCCTCCTTTGATGTAGTCTAGAAATGTGTGCTCTGATTCTGTGGCAAATGAGAGTAATGTCACCTCGAAAATGAAAATAAAGGTATACTGTTACACATGGAACCCAAAAACACACAGCAGTGGTATCAGTGATTTGAAACCAATCCCACTTTTCCCAATGCTGCTACTGCTGAGCCCCGCTCTGTTCTCAGTGGGATGACATGACTCTATTCTCAGACTTCTGAAATAGACATTTTATCAGCCCTTATCTTGGAAAATCTGTTTCTTAACTGATGATCCTGGAAACAGAATGGCTTTTTTTTTCAGCAGGCCAGGTCACAACTTCAGTTTTTTTTTTATCTGTGCTGAATCAGTTTGCAATGGTTTGCAAGTCCCAAGCAGAGTAGACAACTGCAACTGTTTACAAGTCCTAAGTAGAGTAGACTCACGTAAGTGTTGACTTACAGAGTTACTATTGAATCAGTGGGTCTGCTACTGTTGGGACTAACAACTGGATTCATGCCATGGAACCTCTATAGTCTCCTTCCTATTTCTGCTTCCATACTTTCTAGAGAAATTCAATGGGCTTATACCTAGTAAACCAAAGAGCTAGGTAGCCTGGTGGATGAAAGACTAGGAAGGGAGCAGGAGAGGTTATGACTGCTTTGTCTCCCAATCCTGATTTAAAGATATGTGGGGAATCACTGGGTTGCAGCATCCTGTTCCCTTATTCAGTCCAAGAAACAGTAATCAAATCCAGCTAATGCAATGGTTTTCAGTATATTTTATCAATATATTTTATCCCTTACAACTGTTGAAAGATTTCAGATACAGCTGCTCAACAAGACTCCTGTGGGAACTGAGGGAGAATTCAAAGTATTGTTTGCTGAAGATCTAACCTCAGAACCACAGGAAATAATGTTCATGATATTCACCCACCCCTGCAGAGTAAATTCTCACTCCAAAGGAATACAGGATGCTGTCTTATGAAGATTTTTCAAACCAGATTTAAAGCTGGGAGACAAAGGAAGCACTGTTTCTCCTATCCACATCCATATGCCTTCACAGGTAGACCAATTGGTCCATCCATTTCAATATTGTCTGCAGTGTGAGGCAGTTTGACAGAGTTTCAGATAAAGTATTTCCCAGTACTACCTACCAATGCTGGAGACTGATCCTGGGGCATTCTGCATGCCAAGCATATGCTCTGCTACAGAACTATGGCTCTTCCCTGAGGTGCATCCACACCACCAATGAACTACGGTAACTTTGTCTTGATGCCAGTACAATAGCAGCAGAGGCAGGCACAAACAATGTTTGTCATGCTGAAGGGAGTAAATATTAGCAAAACTTTCCAGCCCATAAGCCAACATTGCAGGATGAATAAATAATTGATGAAATATTCATTTAGCTGATGTTATGAGACTAATCAATAAATATGCATGCTTTACCTAAAATTAGACTTGAATGCTTTGCACATTTTATCATTTGTAAAATGAACGATGGAGTGAGTCCCTACTTTCTTCACTGGTAAGCAGAACTGGTTTATATGTTCATATATGTTTACAAAGGGTCTAGCTATGGATTTCCTATATTGGCGGGAAGCTGGACATAATGACTTTTGGGATTCCTTCCAATTTTACAATTCTATGGTTCTGCAAGTTTAAATACTTTACTCACTGTTCCTGAGTTAATGTACTTCTTCTTCTTCATTTTCTTTTTGGGATTCACCACCTGAGATTGAAAACAAAAAGAGAAAACCCATAATAGGGAAGGTGATGTTGAATGGCTATGGCCAGCAGTTAACTGCAGCCAATTGCAAGCTGATATGTTAAGGGTCACAGAAGTACAGGTAACTCAAGGAGATGTCTCACCCCATAATTTCAGGAGGTGGAATGACCTGCCCTTATCCCAACCAATCTATCCAGCAATAGCAACAATTTTGTTTGTGGCACTCAATGACAGCAGTCAGTGATTTTTTACAAAATTTTGAAATTAAGGCCATCATTATGGCATACCCTATAACAACAGCTTAAAGAGTGTCCAAAACTGCAAGCATTTGTGATGATCCGTATAATATCAACAAACCAGTTCTAGTCCTTTTTGTCTGCACTACCAGTATCCAGGGCTCCCTGCATATTAACTGTTTGAGTCCAAGCCATCCAAAATTGCTCTGGGGACAGCTGGGCCAAGACTCTTCAACATATTTAGCCAACAGCCCTACATATATTACTGTTGGGAATATTTACTCCCAACTCCAGAATTTCAGCTTAACTCAAAGGCAACAGACTAGCTGGACAATGGAGAGGTACCTTCTTTGTTCCTGCCAAAGTCTCTTCAGGCTTTGACCCCACAAATCCTAGCCCCACCATGAAGCTGACATTAATGTCAATATACATGACACAGACACAATAAGGAAGAGAAAAACGCTTGGCTCTTCCTCAGGGAGCTAACAGTCTGTATTTCAACAGAAGGGGCAACAGAAGATGGATGGAGAAATGGAAGAGGTAATAAGAAGTAAATAAAAGCAAGTGCAGTAGTCAGGTCAGATAAACTGAACCTAAACCTCCCTCTGTCCTACAGTACATTATAGATTTCCAGGAAAAAAAAATCAGAAGCCTACATTTATCAAAGCTGGCATCTACTGCGAAGGGGTCAATTCAGTATGACCCAGAGGAATATTATGCACCTTGTACAATTCTCTCTTCTTCTGAATATTCTTCTTGCATTGGGAAAATAAAGACAGATAAACTGAATGTCTCGAAAAAGCCTTCTATTTATTGAATATATTGCATGTAGATATAAATGTATTACTGTATACTGATGTCTACCGAATATCCAAAAAAAGAACTGTAGAAACCTAATACAATCTTATGTGAGTATGACTATAAAACTTAATGAACCAAATGATAAATGTAAGTAACTACCCTAACAAAACTTTAAAATGCTGTAACAAAAATTAATATGGTACTTTAATAAAAAGTGTTACAAAGGCATATTTTCTAAGTTATAAAAGCTTAACTCTCAAGTCACATCTACAAAAAGTATCTTAACCAACTATGTAATTAAAAGACTAGACAAAATCATAAGCAATTATAAAATCACATCAGTATATATGAAAAAATCTTACCCCCTCCCCAGCAGAGTTTTCTCCTCTCTAATAATGTTTTCTTGGCATTCTTTGCTCCTTGCTTTGGCTGTTTTTTCTGGCTGTTATTTATAACCTTATTGTCCCTTTATCAGTTATAAGCAATCTTTTCTGCAGGGCTTGTAGGTCCAAAAGCTCCAAGAGATCCAAGAATACATTTTCAATAAGAAATGGTATTATTTCTACATTTTTGGTAATTCCAGGAGTTTTGTAATTTGAAATCTCGCAACTTGTCATTATGTTGATACCATATTTTTCGCTCCATAAGATGCACTTTCCCCCAAAAAAAGTGTGGGGGGGAAGTGTGTGCATATTATGGAGCGAATGCTGTAAAAAAAGTTTAAAGTGATAAAAAAAGTGTGGGGGGGAAGTGTGTGCATATTATGGAGCGAATGCTGTAAAAAAAGTTTGTGACAGAAGAAGGAGAGATGGAGTGACACGAGACAGAGGAATGGATAGAGGAAGGGGAAGTAGTAGAAGAGAAAGAAGAGTCATGAGAGGGGGAGAAGAGGGGGATAAATGTTTTTCTCACGACAGAGGAGGGAGGACAGTTGAAAGAAACAGAAAGAGTGGTGTTAAGGAAAGACATATGGGAGGAAAGTGATCCAGGGGAAGAAAAGGTGTTCAGAGTGCTGGAAAAACAGCTGCTAAAACCGCCTGCCTGGGTCCTCAAAGCTCCATCCCCCTTGCCTTTTCTAAGGCAGCCATGAGGTCCATCCCACATGGCGGCCCAATGGCCAGCTGAGCAGTGCTTTCCCTATGAAGGAGGAAGTCAGGAGGGGTGAGTGACCTTATATGCCCTCTGGTTCACCTCTCAAGCTGCTCTCACGAGACAGCCTCATGGTCTCACATGCCATCCGGTGAAGCAGGGCAAAGGCACGCCTCACTGCTGGAGCCCTGGCCCCACAGTGGCGTCATCATTCTCAAGAGAGAGGAGGGAGGATAGTTGAAAGAAACAGAAAGATTATTGTTAAGGAAAGACGTATGGGAGGAAAGTGATCTGGGGGAAGAAAAGGTGTTTAGAGCACTGGAAAAGGAGGGAAAATCATGCCACTGCCTGACTCCCCCCCCCGCCACTCCACACACACACACCTTCAACCCTAATGGCGCCTCAAATGCAAGGTGTGTCTTATAGTCAAGTGTGTCATATGGAGCAAAAAATATGGATACTTTTGTTATAACTAAAATTTTACAGAGCTTGGAGTAATAAAGGCCGGTAGCATAAATGATCTAGATCCTCGAAAACCAGAACATTAAAATTTTAAAGAGTGCAAATTATAAAATCTGGTTGCTTCTGCTTGGTTATCATTTGCAAAACAAGTTCAACTCTCAATTGTTATGGTAGAGTGACCTTGATTGGCTGGAGCTAGCCACTTGTTTTGAAATGACTATAGTAAACTATTCTTCAAGTTTCAATTTTAAAAGCAGTTTCATTTTCATGGCTGATTCTTCCATACTTTCTTTAAATTATTTTAACACTATGCATATAAAGTTTCACATTGTGACACAGTTCCATTTAGCTTTTGCTTTAATTACAGATTTCTATGCTTTATTTGAAAACTATTAGGATGCAAAGAATATTATAGCTCCTGGAGCACTTGACTGTGGGGCCTGGGAGTTCAACTCTTCACACGGGTTACTGAAGGAAAGGCCAGTCATAGCATGTGCAGCTAATGGTGTTATGTGCCCTTCTACTTTTGTAGCCTTGGGCAAGCTGATTTGTTGCAAAATGTCACCAGAAGGAGAGACTGGTAATCCGCTTCTGAGTAGTTTGTATGAAGAAAACCCTGGGAGTCACCATGGCTTGGAATCAACTTGATGGCACACAATATTTAAGGATGCATTGTGGTTATGCCAAAGACTTCACGATTAAAGAGAAGGATGCTAGCTTTTATGGTGATGAAGTTGCATTTAATGGGCAATGCCTGTTGAAAATCTCAGGAGCCAGCAGTGCAGGTGAATAAAATTTCCAGCAGTTAGGCAATGGGTTTGAATTCCATGCATAGTTGTGTCCTCCTTTACAGTGAATGAAACCAGAATATTTACTGCAAAATAGTTTGACACAATGTAATAAATAATACAAAATAAGCCAAAAGGTTGTAGAGTGCACAATTTCTTCACAAGGAATGTGGATTGTATAGGTGCAGGACTTTAATTTTAACACAGAGCCGTGTTCACTCTGTTGTATGTTATTGCATTGCAGTGGAATACAAGAAGCTGCTTAACTTTCTGCAATTATTAAAGAGAGGCTTTCAAAGATTTCAGGAAATAGTTTTCCCAGCTCTGTCTGGTCGTTCCAGTGGTTAAACCTCAGACCTTTTACATTCAAAGTGTATAATAGGTGCAGGACTTTAATTTTAACACAGAGCCGTGTTCACTCTGTTGTATGTTATTGCATTGCAGTGGAATACAAGAAGCTGCTTAACTTTCTGCAATTATTAAAGAGAGGCTTTCAAAGATTTCAGGAAATAGTTTTCCCAGCTCTGTCTGGTCGTTCCAGTGGTTAAACCTCAGACCTTTTACATTCAAAGTGTATACTCTACCACAGCAGTTCTTAGCCTTTTTTTTACAAACTATGGATTCCCTTTAAGTATCTTTCGTTGCTGCAGACCACGAAGACCTAACTCAAGATTTTAAACCCTGAAGTGCATCCAATATTTATTTAAAGTTTCTCATGACAGGTCTCATCCACAGATATTCCTTGTTATAACAGCAACACTTTTTAAGATGACTGAAAGAAACTTCATTGTGCTTGAACAGGATGCACCCTGTTTCTAATTCAGCTAGTAATCCATTCAGACACTCAGCCAAAATGTATTGTTACAGAATTCACTGCAATAAGATTGAGAAGTCAATTTACCCGACAATAACCTAATGATTTTATGAGCAGAAATAAAACAAACACAATAATGAAGTCCATCTGAACACTCTGACTGACTCCAACTCTCTTTTCCCGCAGCTTCTGATTGACTGTGCAGTAGCAAGAAATGTCACAACGTATCTATCAGCCATTCAGCATCATTCACTTGCATGTTCTTACCATGTGCAGAAATATCAAACAGTTATTCGCTATCAAACAGTTATTTTCATAACCAATTTTTACTTACAGTTTCCACAGACCACAGGTTAAGAACCTAAGCTGTACCTCTGAATTGCATTCCTTCTCAGTGAAGCCCCAAGGCTTCCCCCCCCCACCCCCCGTTCTATACACTGGTTTGTTGGTGCTACAAATCAAACTGTTAGACTTATTATACACTAGGTGATCTGATGCTAGACCAAGAAACCAAATTATCTGGTTATTTCTTTTTATTTCAGATCTAAGAAATCCTATGAGATATAATGGATGCAAATTCAAACATGAAATAGGAAATAATTTGGTTGCAGTGAGAAACCATTGAAAATGTGAGGCAAACGTTCTGTATATTATCATACTGTAAACAACCACAGCATGTGTGCAAATTCATTTTCTGTGAAACGGAGCCGACATACTTTGATAATCTTCTGCCCTGGTGTTTCGTAGGAAAAAGGAAGCAGGATCTCTATATTAAGCTCAGATCTCAATTACCAAATTCTAAACAACCCTTTT